GGCCACAATCAAAATTTTATCTAGAGAATAGACTTTTATTTCTGTTTAAGGTTTCAAGTTAATCAAGCTTAAATAAACATCGTCCAGTTTTACAAGAATTACTTTACAACTCAATACAACTCAAAGCCAGAACTTAGATGGCATACACCATGCTATCTTTTCTTCAATAAACTGTGGTTTAGTATGCAGAGGAGTTTTTGCTGCATTTTAATTATGAGTCATAGAATGAATAAATAAGTACATATACACATATACACCCCTAACTGAAAAAGCATTACCAGAATGATTTAACAGTGCCAGAAGACAGACCAGTTCTGAACTCACTTATCTTGTCAAGAACACTTAACCAGTGGTGTAAAAGAAAGAGGACTGGATGGAACAGGGAATCTTGGTGCTAGTCCTAATTCTACCACTAACATTGGCAAAGAACCTTGTGGGGTTACTCCTAGTGGAGTAACCTTGGCAAAGTCATTTGACCCTCTGCAGACTTGTCTTCTCTTCACTAAAATGAAAGAACTGGATTCCAAGGTTTCTGAATATTACAACCCTCAACAGTTTTTGATTCTATTGTTAAGTAGCTTAGGGCTGTAAGAGGCCCAGCAATTACACACTAGGCAGCTACCATATTTTTATGTACTTAGGCAACCACGCCGTATAGAGTAACAAGAGAACCCAGTATTAGTCACAGGGAAGGAGGAAAAAGAAAAGTGCACACAGCTCCTGCTGGTACTGGTTTACTCCTGTTGGACCTAATAAAGAGAAAGCACCTTTGCCAATTTTCCAGGGGATAGGAGTGGTTCCTATGTCTCACCACACCCACCATAGTTGGTTTTTCCTAAAAGAAATCCAGTGGGACTCTACAAAAATGTTGTAAAGCAGCAAGTACTTTTAGTCACTGCATGACTAACAGGACAGATCAATTCTAAATTAAAGAAATAAAACAGCTTTCTCTTTCTAATACAAAAAGAAATAAACAGCTTTCATTCCAAAGAGTCCTAGATGACCACAGTGAGTTGCACAGATAACTTAGCAATAAATAGCGTCAACCCAAAGAAAACTAATTATCTATAGAACTAGAAAGTTCAAAGCACTGAGGTTCGACATGACATTATTCAACACAGCCTCTTTTTTTTGGCTGCTCCATGCGGCGTGTGGGATCTCAATTCCCTTCCCGGTGCTTGGTCACTCAGTCGTGCCCGACTCTTTGGGACCCCGTGGACTGTAGCCCTCCAGGCTCCTCTGTCCATGGGATTCTCCAGACAAGAATACTGGAGTGGGTTGCCATGTTCTTCTCCAGGGGATCTTCCCAATCCAGGGATCAAACCCATGTCTCCCATACTGCAGCCAGATTCTTTACTGACTAAGCCACCATCAAACCTGGGCCTCGGCAGTGAAAGCACTGAGTCCGAACCACGAGGCCACCAGGGAACTCCCTCAACATAGTCTTTAATGCAATTCAGTTTACAACTCCAACTTCCAGAGTAAAAAGCAGTATTAAAAACTCACTGAGACACATTACCTCTTCCACAGCAAGAGATAACCAGATCTGCCTATAATGGGATGGTGCCACTCACTAAAAGAAGTCACCATCATATGAATTGGTTTGTGGAAACCAAAGATCAAATGAGGCCAACTCACAAGTTGTATTAGGTGGCTCTCAAGATGGCTTTCTGGAAGAACTCCTCCAACACAAGACAGTCCTAGAGAACCTGTATTCCTGGATTTGCATACAATTCTCTCTCAAAACAGCTCTTTGTCAAATATGGCCAAAGACCATCCCTAGTTCACATAAGCCATCATCTGTCTGGTTATGTCTAGGAACATTCCTTTCAAGAGGGGTACAGAGCTGTAGTTCTTAATCTGGTACCACCCAAGGACCTCTAGATGGACCTCTAGGTGGCCCATAAGTGGATTCCATGTACTTCATGGGGTCTCTGAAGACTCCAAATGTTAGTGTTAGTCGCTCAGTCGTGCCCGACTCTTTGCGACCCCATGGACTGCAGCCCACCAGGCTCCTCTGTCCATGAGATTTTCCAGGCAAGAATATTGGAGTGGGTTGCCATTTCCTTCTCCAGGGGATCTTCCCAACTCAGGGATCGAACCCGGGTCTCCTGCACTGCAGGCAGATTCTTTACCAACTGAGCTACAAGGGAAACCCGAAGTCTCCAAAGGCCTATGCAAAATTTTGTCTCTATGCACATTTCTGGAGGGAGACAGCCTGTGGACAGTGAACCAAGAGGCTGTGAATCAAGCAAAGTTAAGAACCACTGGTTTCAGCGCCAGATATAAAACAACTTATCTACTGAAGGTGCCCATGTGAATAGAAAGGGAAGTAATGTCCACTATTTGAGATGAAAAATAACTAAGAGTGCTATCTTTTCAAAACAAAAAGAAAATATATGCTGGTCAGAAGTTTTGAGGATCAGGTAGTCCACTTCCCTCATCCTCTAGTCTAGAGGAGGAAAATGAGCTGAGAGGTTCTTGCCCAAAACCACAGATCACAGAGTGGTAAAGCTGAGCACCTAACCAGGCTGGGTTTAGGGCAGGATGGTATGGTTATACATTTTTCAAAATGGGTTTGATCAAAGTTTCACATATCCTTATAAATACCCCACTCCATTAAGAAGGTAGCCTTCAAAACACTTCAAATTTCAGCATAGGCATCTGACATATTAAACTATCCCCTGAATAATTAATCAAATCACAGATCTTTCACATAAGCCAGTACATAGCAGATTTTTAAGGGGGAACCTTAGTGGCTCAATATCCTCTATCCTATTGCACTATAACAGCAACTTGAAAAAGCAGTACAGGTCACAAGCCTTTAACTGTGAAGTGCCTCGATTGTAATGAAAAAAGAACCACTGACAGACCTTTAAAGAAAAAAAAAAGATATCAGGGGCTTCCTTGGTGGTCCAGTGGTTAAGAATCTGCCTGCCAATGCAGAAGACATGGGTTCAATCCTTCGTTCAGGAAGATCCCACATGCCACTGAGCAACTAAGTAAGCCTCTGCATCACAACTACTGAGCCCATGCACCTCAACTACTGAAGCCAGTATGCCTAGAGCACATGCTCAACAAGAGAAGCCCCTGCCTGCGGCAACTAGAGAAAGCCTGCGTGCAGCAAGACCACCCAGCACAGTCCAAAATAAATTAAATAAACAAATAAACCTTTAGTCAGGGTCGAGCTGACTCAATTTTCAAGTTCCCCCAGGGAACTCTACTCAGTACTCTGTAATGACCTATATGGGAAAAGAATCTAAAAACAAGTGGATATATGTATATGTATATCTGATTCACTTTTGTACAGCAGAAGCTAACACAACATTGTAAATCAACTATAATCCAATAAAATTTTTTTTTTTAACTTGCAAGTTCCCTTCTAAGGAGTCTTTGCCTAAACACTAAACGATTTTTTCAACCTACCTATTTTAGTCTTTCATAAATTAAACTGAAAGCAACTTTTCTAGTGCTATCTTCATACACAGTACATGAGTAAAAGCAAAGATAATAGACTTATTCTGAGACTAAATTAAAAAGTAATTCTTATCATAAAATTACAGGACCCTGTGTTCCAATGCCAAGCTTTGGCTCAGTATATGCAATTTAAACTAGTCAAAATACTCAATCTCACCTGAGAAGTGAAAACAAAGAGACATTTGAACTTGAGTTCAATGACAACGTGTCCTTCAATTTCACAGGAAGTGCTCTACTTATTGAGAGATTTAAATGGCATAGGAGTCTATGGCATATGCACTGTCTCCAAAGACATGCACGATGGTAAAGTTTCTGATTGCTTCTGAATTCTATTTAGCCATTTCTGCAAGCTCTAACTCTAGACTCCCAACCCCTAAGATGTAACTGGACTAGGCCCTCCAAAGCACCTGTGGCCTGAAATGGCTTTAACCAATTCTCAAGGCTTTCTTGGCCGCAGTGAAGAAGAGGGTTTGACCATTCTATTTTGGGTCAAGGAGACTCTCTTCCACCCTAAGTAACCTCAAGTGGTCAAGATCAGTTTGGAAGAATGCACTGCGAGTGATTTTTTTTTACCAGGCCAGCGGCCTCTGCTGCGAGACTCAGACAAGGATGGAGATCTGGTCTTGGATCGAGACGACGAAAGAATGCGGCTGAGCTGTGTGGGGCTTAGGACAGCCAGTCTGCTCGGGAGCCCGCAACCCACAGCCGGGCCGAGGCGTCAGGAGCTCGAAGAAGCAGGGATCCGCAGGGCACGCAGAGGGAGGAGGAAGGGAGCGAGAGAATGAGAGCGAGGTTCGGAGCCTGCAGGTGTCGCCGGGGGAGGGGACGAGGTCGTCTGGGGCTGGCCCTGCCAAGTGACTAACAGTGCGGTTCCGGACTCGGACAAACTGGTCACATTCTCAGGGTGTGTGACCTTGAGCATGTGGCTCCACCGCTCAGCGCCTCAGTTTCCTCAACTCTAAAATGGGGGTTGATCAAGTGGAAAAACGCACCTTCAAGCGCTTGGCACGGCGCCTGGCACCTAGTAAGCGCTCCGTACAAATGAGCTACTACTACTGGCTCACTGGCTCCTCTTACCGCCTGCAGGAGCTGGAAAAGCCCCGAGCAGGGGAGTCCCCAGGAGGCGGATCCGGGGCTTGGGAGGGGGGACCCGGCCGGGCACTCACCGAGCACGTCTGCCGAGCGGTGCCGGGCTACGAAGCACGCGTCGTCCCCATAGCAAGCGCCCTTCTTGAGAAGGCCCTTACGGAAGTCCTTGCCGAAGCCGCAGCCGGCCGTCACCAGCCCGTAGTCACCGCCGCCGCCGCCGCCGCCGCCTCCGGCCCTGGGGTCGGTCTGCGAGAGGCCGCCGAGCACGGCGCGGGCCACCAGTCGCCCGTACGAGAGGACCGAGAACATCGCCGCCGCCGCCCCCCCGAGGAGGCGGGGGGCCCGGGGAACAGGAGGACGCGGAGGCCCGGAGCCGGCTATCTCCTCAGCCGCAGCCGAGCCGCCGCCGGGACGCTCCTCAAGGCGGCGCGCAGTTACCGCCGCCGCCCTTGCCCGACGCGCGGGGCCTCGCACACGCTCCGCCGCGCGCACTGGAGCCAGAGCGAGGTCAGAACCGGCGGCTCCTCCGCCTCAGCCCGACTAGGGTCCCGGCTGCAGCCACCGCTGCCGCCGCCATCTTCCGCTCCACTAGCGTGTTCCGGGCCTCGCCGGCAGCACCGCCCCCTTATGACCACGCCTCTAGCCCCGCCCATAGCCCGCGGCTTAGGCCCAAGCCCCGCCTCCTCGGCTCGGTGCCCTATGCAGTCACAGAGGTCGAGCTTGCGCAGAGGATGTGGTCACAATGTCTCCTAGGAATTGTAGTCCGAAGGTTGTAGTCGCTTCTTTTAATTCACTGCCTAGCTTCAAGGACCGAGAAGGAGTTCCCAGACGCGAGACCGAAGTTAAAACACGGAGAATTACAAGTGGGTTGTTTGAAAGTTTTCTCCCCTGCTTTCAGTGAAGAGAAAACGCCACTATTCCTTAAAAAAAAAAAAAAAAACCTGGAAAAAACTAGTCACGTATGATTTTTTTATAACACATATATTAAACGGAAGTACACAAATCTAGTGACACCTCCAGCATTTGTATATTGGAAGGGTTTAGGGACCGTAATCTGTTTGGAAAGAAGAACCGTTTTGCATTATGCAAAATTTAGAAAAATTCGAGAATAATGATGGAGATTCAGGCACAACCACTGCAGACATACAGAAGTCATACAGAAGTGTTTCAGACTTTCAGATGATCCTGCCAAGTGAGGAACAAAAAAATTCTAGGCCCCAAATTTCTTTGCCTCAAATCTGAATTTTCTTGAAGATCTACCCGGGTAAGCAGGTCTTCTCCCCACCTCTGACTTGGGTGCCAAAGACTTGCAAAAATGACGGCCCTGCCTCTCTCCTCCCACAGCTGCCACCTCTTCTCATGGAAAGGACAACCCTTGGCCAGACAGGCAGCTCCCCTACTTTTTTTTAAGCTTTCAGCCTACCCCTAACAAACATCACAGTAGCCTTCTCCAGATTTTGACTAAGTAACCTTCTGAAATTTAGGTTGAAAAGTAAATTTCATGGGGAATTTGTAATCTAATGGAAAGATTAGCTCACCAAATATGTGTAATAGGTTTGTATGTGTATGTGAATGTAGATTCAAATTACATACCATATTGGTGGGACTGTACATAATCTAGTCCTTGCATACCTTTCCACTGTACTTGGTGCTCTGCCCCCTTCACTAACTGGACTGTAGCCATGTTCACAGGTGCCTCAAGGCCTTTGCTTTTGCTCTTCCTTCCACCCACCATGTGTTTATTTTTATTATATATATATATTTTTTGGCTGCACTTCACAGTGAATAGGACCTTAGCTCCTCCACCAGGGATTGAACCCATACCCCCCTGCAGTGGAAGCATGGAGTCTTAACCACTGGACCACCATGGGAAGTCCCCTTCCATCCACTTGAATATAATTCCATTTCTTGAGTGTCCTGTGCTCTTTCTTAGTGTATCCCCAGAACATATGGGCACATGATAAACACTAAAATATATGAATGAATACATATTTCGCTAGATCCTAAGCACCCTAAAGGCAAGGATCATTTGCCAGTATATTATTACAACTGATACAATTTATATAAATATTGAATAAAAGAAGCGATAATTGAATAGGAACCATAAATATTAATAATAAAATATAGCATTTGTCAAATAAGGGAATGATTAAATGAATGGATTCAGAAATAAAAGAAAATAGATTTGATGCAAATGATCTAATCTGAAATAGTTTTGCTATCACCCAGAAGCATTTGTCCTTTTTCAGCTTTTTGACAGAACTATGGTTCCTCTGGGGATTCCTGTCTCATTCTACGAATGAATCTTTTACACCTTTTTAAGTATATCTAAAGACCTGCCAACCATCCACTCAAAGCACATTCCGTTATCCCAATTACTGTCATCATTAAATACTTGTGTGGTTCATGGTGTGCTAAGTACTCTATATGTTTCTGTCCTTAAGGGTTTTCATCAAAACTGGACTGAACAAACCACTTCACACAATGAGTGGTCTTTTGTCAAATGTGTAGACAAAAAAAGATTCATTTACCCGATAAAAGATAGAGTGATTCTAGACATGCAGTCACACCTTGCTATTTTTTTATGGCCCACAAGAATTAAAGAGTGCCCAGAAGAAGGGGGTGGAAACTTGCGGATCCTCAGCTTGGCATTTATGTCTGTGCGAGCCATACTAAAGGTTGTTCTTTTAAGCACATACCACTACCAAATCCCAGCCAGGATGTCAGGTAATTCTACCCCAAGGACAAACTTTTTAAAATAGCATGTCAACCCTTATTCCTTGCCTTGTCAAACTCCCTCAGGCTACTACTGCCTTTTCATTTTCAGGACATATATTACCTCATTTCCATGACACTCACAGGAACCAGTTGGATGAGATAAGCAGGAACATAAGATGTAACTCTGATGCCAGGTAACCTCTGCTCTGTTGGGGCTACTGTTTTCACAGTTAAATGATACCAGTGCCTTGAGTTTCCTGCAAATGAGTTTTCTGCAAATGAGTTGCTCTTTGGAGCCCAATGTGAACAGAATCCTTTCTCAAAGCTCCTTTGCTCTTTTTGGAAAGAAGAAGAGACAGGGCCTCAGGTTCCCTTGAATCATTTATTCCAGAGCCAGTTCTGAAAAGTCTCACTATAGTGGGGAAGCCAGAAAAGGGTACTTTGGAAAAAAAAAAAAAACACCACACTTTCCCCTGCCCTCCCCTGGAGCACAATTCACTTGTGACATTTTGCTAGACTTTAAAAGCCCTAAGAGTTTTCTTCCTTAACAGAGTTACATTCCTAGCACTTCAAGGATTCCTGGGAGGTCAGTTGTCACTCTCAGAAGCAAGCAAGTGGTGAAAATACCATCTGTGTTCCCAGGGCACCTCTATGACATTAGGAAAGAGCTTTGCACTGGAGTCACCCACAGCTCCTAAAAATAGAAAGGGGGAAAAAAAAAAGGCATGAATTCCCTAATGAGATTTTTTGCCAGACTGGTACACTGATCTCTGATTTCTTTTTGCTAACCTATTCAAAAAGAGAATTCGTTTATGGCAAGGTTTCTCAACCTTGGTACTATTGACATTTGGGGGCCACATAATTCTTTGTGGGAGGGGGCTGTCTTACACAATGAAGGGTGTTTAGCAGCATCCCTGATCTGAAACTACTAGATGCTAATAGCACACTCACCCCTAGTTGGGGCAACCAAAAATGTCTCCAGACATTGGCAAATGCCCCTAGGGGGCAAAACTGCCTCTAGTTCAGAACCACTGAGTTATACCAACGCCTTACAAGTGAGCAAATATTTGGGAAGCACTTGTTAAGTCTGAGGCCCTGTGTTAAGAATTAAAAAAGACTGATGCCTTCATAGCAGTTATAGTATTGACAAAGAGGGTTAAAATTAAGTAAATTATAGAGAAAATAAGCACCATCAGTTGAAATAAAGCATGTAAGGAGGAGAAAGAGGAGCCATTAAGATGGAAGAATAGTCAGGGCACTTTATGGAGAAGTAACATTTGTGAGAGGCCAGCATGGCCAGGGACTTCCCTGGTGGCTCAGTGGTAAAGAATCTGCCTGCCAATGCAGGAGACGCAGGAGAAACAGGTTCAGTTCCTGGGTCAGGAAGATCCCCTGGAGGAGGAAATGGCAATCCATCCACTCCAGTATTCTTGCTTGGAAAATCCCATGAACAGAGGAGCCTGGTGGGTTTCAATCCATGGGGTTGCCAAGAGTCAGACATGACTTAGCAACTGAGCACAAGCAAGAGCAAGAGCATGGACAGAGGTCTGAGGAGGAGATATAATCATTCCAAGAGAAAGAAATGGGAAATCAGCAAACTCAGAGTGTGAATGAAGAAGAGCAAGTAGTCCAGTACAGCTCAACCTTAGGGTGTGCATGAGGAATAATGAGAAATGGAGATAGGAAAACAGTTTAGAAACTATTTTGCATAAAAAGGAATGAAAAAAATAAAAAGGAATGAAGTACTGACATATGCTTCAACATAGAGGAAACTTGAAAACATTATACTAAGTTAAAGACACCAGTCCCCAAAGACCACACATTGTATGATGCTATTTCTATGAAATGTCCAGAACAGAAAAACCCATAGAGACAGAACCCAGATTAGTAGTTGGCAGAGACTGGGAGGAACGGGAAAGGGAATGATTGCTAATGGGTTTGGGGTTCCTTTTTGGGGTAATGAAAATGTTCTGGAATTAGTAGTAATGGTTGCATCACCTTTTATATGTACTAAAAAACAATTAACTGTACACTTTAAAAGAGTGAATGTTATGGTATGTGAGTATCTCCATTAAAAAAAATTAGTTTAGGACTTACAGCAGAGGGTCTTGTATGCTAAGCTGAGGGTGCTTAATGCTGGAGACAACAATGGGGGGTCACTAAATGCTCTAAATATGCCAATAATAATAAAATAACAATAAATAATATTATAATTATAATAAGATAATAAAGCAAGAATAGTGATGAGAATGAGAGCAATAGATACCATGGATTAAGAACTTCCCATGTGCATTTACCTGCATGACCAGGTCTGACCACCTATTTAAGCTTGAAATCACCCAACAGTCCTGTCTATGTTTCACTTGGGACTCATTTATTCTGTTTACTCTTTGTCTCCGCCCTGACTAAAATGTAAGTTCCATAAGAGTAGGGGATTTTGTGTATTTTATCCTTTATCTCACGTGTCTGGAACACTCCCTAGCATACAATAGGTAACAAATAAACACCTAAGGAGCGAATGCTGTTGATAAAGAGAAACTTAGAGGTCATATAGAGCAAGCAACTTGTTTTACAATTGAGAAAAGGGAAGGGTAAGTAACAGGTTCCTCCCATAGGAATTTAATGGGTGGAGCTAGGTTAACTGGTGAGCTCTCCAGGAGAGTCTTGGTCCGCCCTGCAAAGCCTTTGTGAAGGCACTAGCCACAGCTGCTCTTTCCACTGAACTTTGCATTGTGTGTGATGGTCATATTTTCTCCCATCTAGAATCCATTGCCTTCCAGTCTCTGATAACAGTACTTTGATTCCTTTATGTGGTTTGGGAGGAACTAAATTTCAGGAGGGCACATGATCCAGGTCTGACTAATCAATGCATTGCATTCTCTTGGTCACAGTGATTGGTCCAGTAGGAAGGCACATGACCCAAGCTAGGTCAATGAAACTTCACTATGGGATTTTGCTGAAAGCATTAAGGAGATATTCTCAGTAGCATTTTCTAAACCCATAAAGATGCAAGCTTAGAACTGCTGATGGCCATTTTTGCCACTGCTTAGGAAGAGCCAGCCTGAGAATGAAGGGAATTTAGAGAGAAGCAGAGCCTAGAGATGGTGAGCAACAAGAGAATTTGTGATATCGATTAAATCCCTGAATCCAGCTTTGCCTGAAGTCATCAGTCATCAGTCCCTGAAGTCATATTAATTCCCTCTTTTGCTTAAGCCACTTTGAGTTTGACTTGCAATGAAGTGAATCCTGACAGATCATGTGATCCTGATACCATGGCTACTATTATTGAATCAGGAATAAGTTACCAAACCAAAGGCAGTTTTTAGAAGGGAACTTCTCCTCTGCCAGTTTACATACATAGAGGAGAGGGAACTGCCATGCCTCAGTAGAAAAATTACTGAAATAAAACATCTGATTTCTTTCTTTACTACTTCCATGACAGGAGAATTGGGTCTGACTAGTGGGTTCATAATAAGATACTGATGTTACTGAACTCAACTCCCCTTGCCTGATGCTCAGCAAAGTCAGTCTACTGACACCAGGTTGTGGTAAAGAAAAGTACAAGGCACCAAGCAAGGAGAACAGACAGCTAGTACTCAAAAGAATAAAACATTTCCTGATGGCTTTCAGGCCAAGGTTTTTAAAGGCAACATTGAGGGTGAGAGTTGCAGGGTGCATGATCAGGTCGTGAACATCTTTCTGATTGGTTGGGGATGAGGTAACAGGGTGATGTTTCGTAAATCTTCATTAGCCTTCTGGTTCCAGCCAGTCTGGGGTCTATGTGTTTTTGGTCAGAATGTTGTCACCGTTCTCCACCTGGGTGCAAGGCAGGGTGGTGGGTGGTGGGGGTGCAGTGGGGAGTCTTAATTTCTGCAGAACAGTGAGATATATGTCAGATTATTGTCTATATCCCTTCAGGAAGAACTCAGAATCCTGAGACCCTACTGTTCTAATCATTAACTGCCA